TAAGACCTCGAGCCAGTTTGCAGAGGAAGACGAATTGACAGATTGTTGAAACGTACATAAATGTCGAGCCAATTTGCAGAAAACACAGACAGTCCATCACAGGGAGAACCAAATCCAACCATTGATCCGCGAAAAAAAGATTCAGTGTTCTATTGTAACACTTCGCGAATCAAGCTTAGTTGCAGCATAGGAGACTTGAGTTATTTCTGTTTATTCCTTCTGTGCTTCCAGTACAAACTCAACATACAAATCTTTGATTCCAATCACAACAGTAGTTATTAGCGGCCCCATGATCGCTCCCTGCATAACAAGACCATGAACAACTAATATCAAGCAACACCACCTTTAAACGAAAGAAGTAACTCATTCTCTTTCTAATGCATTTGGGAAAATCACATGCATTTCTTCAGCTAACTGATCATCCACTTATCTTAACTTTCTTGGCAAAATAACAGAGGTGTGCAGCTGAGTGCCACTACATAGGAAGATATGGAGGTTGAGAATTAGGGTAGAAGGTCAGTAGATAGTCGAGTGTTGTCTAGTTCAGTATCATATATGTGCTGCTACTTGCTCTCTTCCTAATTGTTTTCAGCATGACTCATTCTTTACTATATTAGTGACATACTTACTTGAGTCGAGTGTCTATCGGAAATAGTCTCTCTACCTTCACAAGGTAAGGGTAAGGTCTCCTTACACTTTACCCTCCCTAGATCCCACTTTGAGGTACTACTGTGTATGTTATTGTTGTTGATGGTGGTGTCAAGCCGAGCTTACACATACCTCAACGATTCCATTGTGTACCTGCTACTTCTCACCCGCACAGGTATATCTCCACCAAGGCACAGACAGATGTGGGATTTGAGCCCTGGTCTCCAAGGTTTCACTCATGACCACTAGGTTACACCCTTAGTTTACGTACTTTTTCTCGTGGTCAAGAGGAGGAAGAAGTGAAGAAATACTTCCAACATATGCTAACAAAAGAGATGCAAAAATTTATGAGAAATTCAAGAGATGAAGATGCTTGTTATTTACCTCAATTGCTGAAGAACACAGTGTCATTCCGCCGATGATGCTGAGACCAGTGAGATATGCACTATAGCCAGGGATATCATCTTGAATTTCAGAAGTACCATAATCCATAAGCACAAGATGGATAAAGGATAAGCTGATCGCCAATACATATCGACCTTCAAACACTAACTGTAATGCTGTTGGGATAGTTGAAAGCCACTCAGGGAAAATCGGAAACAAAGGACTTATAAATGCAAGAACAGTCGACATGTACAGAAAATGTATCGAGTATAATCTGAACAAGAGCCAAGTCAGGCATCCCTGAAAGAATGCAATCTCAGCAGTTGCTAAAATGACACCAGAAATTGCTTTATCAAGAACTTCAACACATCGAGTCCTTGCAGAGTGCGGTATTGGAAGCATACATATTACTTGTTCCGTTGCTCCTCCAGACTCTGATGTGATAAGATAATAAAGTACCCAAAAGAACACCATCGACTGAGACACGAAATTGAAAAGACCTGCAGCTCCTGAAAGTATAGAATTTCCAATCGAAAACATGACCTGCATACTGCTACCTAAAAGAGATGTACTAGTAATAATTACTCCTTGCATTATATTTGCTCCTTGAAGGGCAAATCCTTTTGCCTTTTCAACCAAGTCCTTTCTAGTGATCAACAATTCTTTGAAAAACGCGTCCATTTCTGTATACATTTGTCTCCATTCGCGATCCTTAATCCTCCTTTTTATGCTCATGATCTTTTTAGTGTATCTAGAGCGGGATGACAAAGCTGTAGACCGCTCAAAAGAGCTATTCACCGGAGTTGTGATAAAGTGTTTGATCCCGGAAACAAACTCAGTCATATTATACTGCTTAGCATAGCTATCTAGTTGGTAGAATAGAGTCTCATACAATTGACTACTGTACTTATCGACCATAGCAGGGACATCATTTTCATCCATCCATTGTTTGACACCAATTTTCTCAGCATAATTACTCTCCTCTACACGTGATTTCAACGCAATAACAGCGTCTTTTCCTTCAACTCCAATCTCATAAGAGAAGAAAATCGTACCTGCCAAAGAACCTACACTCAGCCCAATAATAAGTCCTACTGCCACAATGGTTTTCAATCTTTTCAATATCCCTCTAGTGAAGAAAGCAGATATCGACAGTCTACGAAAGCTATGACTCCTGAAAGATGTTACTGCATCCATTGTAGACTCCACACTGTTAACAGGAAACATAAATCCCAATGCAAGAAGAGCAACTGATCCAAAGAGACCAATTTGCTCATATGCCATCACAAACACCCAAAATGAAACTAGCCACCTCAACAACATAAAAAATCCACTTCGATTACGCTTCAAAGCACTACCTTTCTGTCTCCGTAGAACAACTCTGAAAATCATTTCCCTAATATCAACAAGGGTTCCAACAAAAATCCTGAGTACAGAAACGGGGATCGCCAAAATGGTCTCTGTAAGGCCTAGCTTTAAAGGTTCAGACCAAAATGCAACAAGGGCTTGCTGAATTCCTCTCAAAGGTATTGAACAAAGCACAGCCCACAAAATAGGCCTTAAATATTCTTCAAGCAATTTGCCAACAGCATAAAGAATGAAAATTGTGAAAGCAAGACCAGCATGAGCCATCGCTATATAGAGGGCGAAGCGTACCTGTTGAAACATAATATAATTAAGTTTTTAAAAATGCGCTCTCTCTAACATATTAAGCTTTTATACGAGATGACCACACTAGCAGAGCTAGGGGGAACAAGGAGGTTCGTCCAAACCTCTTTCGCCAGAGAATTATACTAGGTAAGACTTATGTTTTATGTATATTTTTATAGATGTTGAATTCACTTGACCTATATTTACTTTTTTATATTTTGAATACCTTCGGTGAAAATATTGACTCTTCCATTTGGACATTTTAACATTCATAAAAAAATGAACTTTGAACTTGACTCAACTCCAAAAGGTAGCAAACATCAGTCTCCACATAGAGTAAGTTGATACAACCTTAGGAGAACCACACCCGAAAGCTCTAGCTATTGAGGTGGGAGAGCTCAACGCTATATAAGCCTCACTCCCAACTCCCCATTTAGCAGATGTGGGGTTCAAGTCTCATAACAATAAGCTTTCGGATGAGATGATCACATACTTATCAAAAGTAATTTTCAACCTATATACACAATATTATTTCTACCACCCTTCAGTCTATCCGTAACTATAACCTTTTTAGATGAGATGATCAAACACTTCAACAATATACCTGAGCTTCATCTGATAAAAAGTTGTGATCTTTTTTCTCTTTGGCTTCTGGGGTTTTGGGAGGAGTCTGTGGGGAGCCATAGTTCTTTGTTTTCTTCATTGCAGCAGATCTAAACATTTCTTGCCATGGTGGACTAGAGTTACTTGATTCAGTCATGGGGTCAGAGTAAGCTACCAGTTCCATTAACAAGACACAATCTTTAACACTGGTTTTCACTCTTTATAGTCAAATAAAAATCAAATCTTTGACACTTCCCTCAGACATTAAGGTACTGAATTCCAAGAAAATTTGGAATCTAACAAAGAAAGAACGTTGGAATTTTTCAGGAGAATCAACAATATGCTGACAACACAAGTTGCAGAGTAAATGAATGAAGAAGAATTTTGATTCCAAGAATTGGAGTCACTGACCACAAATGATTGTCATTTTCTCTCTCTCTCTTTTAAAAATTTGACTTCACATTCGATGTTCGATATCTATATTAGAACTTGAAATAATTTAAATCTGCACCAGGTAAGGCCATTTAAGAGAAGGCTTCCTACTAACTATCATTTATTTGATTCTAAAAATATTCAAGAAAATCAATCATGTCATTGAAAATAAAATAAAAAATTTATAATTTAATTATTCTATTTGAAAAAGATCCCGACCACAAGGATCTTATTATACTCAGCCTTACCATAATTTTTTTGGAATCAAATATCTCACTTAAATTAAAATGAAGCAAAGTAATATTTGGTTGGTTTTCTTGATTTTTTTGGAATAAAATATCTCACATAAATAAAAATGAAGCAAAGTAATATTTGGTTGGTTCTAGTGATGGGGCCTGCCTTACTTACTTTTGCTATCACTTGTCTCCTTAACTTTTTTTTGTCCATAATTCATTATATCAAGCACATGTTTCTTGTTTATTTTATTTGGTATTGGTATTGTGGGTGTGAGCTATAATGGAAGTATTTAAAGTTAAGCTTGACTATGAATGTTTCTATTTTTTTTTATTAGTGCATGCCTATTTCTTTGAATTTGGTTGATGGACTTCGATTGATTTATGATTATATTGGTTCATTGAAAATAAAGAAAGTACTTTGTGAATATTACTACATGCTAACTTTTTTTAAATTGGATTGGATGGATAATGATTGACTTGAAATTTGATCACTTCATTAAAAACAATTTTGTGATAAATACTTAGCATGACAAACATCTTTTCTTTTAGCGTTTCGAGGTTATTAAGCATAAATTCATGATTATGGACATTTGTGTGTGTAAATGTACATGCTAATTTTTCTTCATTTGGTTGACTGACTTCATTTGACCAGAAATGTAGTTGATCATCGAAAACAACCTGGTGACTAATACTCATAGGGATAAACATCGTTTTTTAAAAATATTTTTAGAAGTATGAAATATAAATTCTTGATTACAAGCATCTTTTATGTGTATTAGTACATGCTGAATTTTTTGAATTAGGTTGATGTATTCTAATTGACTTGAAATTTGGTTAGCCCATTAAAACGATCTTGCAATCAATTCTTAGCATGATAAACATCGAATTTTTTTTAGTGTTTTGTGATCATGAAACACAAATTCATAAACATCCTGATTTTCGTTAATTTAATTGACCAACTGTCCATAAAAAATGACTAATGACCAATACACACTATGACAAACATTGTTTTATAAGCATAATATAAAAGGAATTAACTATTAAATAACATTGTGCACTTATTTTAAAATCATTTGTGACAATTTACACAAAATTTTCTCTGCGTAATGGGGATCGAATCAACGTACGAGATTCACCAAAACGCTTACATCAAGCTAATCCTCCATGCATCAAAGCACAAAACTTCCGCCGTCAACGGCGTTCTCCTCGGCCGTATCTCCGGTGACTCGGCCGTCGTCGAAATTGTGGAGTCCGTTCCACTATTCCACTCTCAAATTGGCGTCCTTCCTCCTCTCGAAATTGCCCTAATTATGGTCCGTCACTAAACTACATATTGCATATTCACTGCGATGAACTGAAATTTTATACTATTGTTTTGTTTGTATATATTATGTGTTTATATAGTGTCGGATCCAGTATTTGAAGCTTATGCGGTACTTCAACGACTTCAAGTTAATATACTATAATAACTGAGTTCATAGTCAAATATGTATAGATATTTAGTGGATTTGTTAATGCATGTATAGGTTCTGTGCAAAAGCTACTGGATTGCACATGTATACATACATGCTATGAGCTGATTTAAAATCTCGGATCTGCCTCTAAGTAGGATTCAGGATTTGAAGTTTATGAGTTCCTATAATGACTTCAAGTTAATATACAATCAATTTTTTATTTTTTTTTATATATATA